TATATATACACATATATATATATAATCTGCTGATGTATATATGTCAGCAGATTAAATTTTTTAATTTGATTTAATAGTACCTGAAATATTTTGAAGATAGCATTTCTTTTTTTTAGCAAAAACTAACTGCAATGTCCTTTCCAAACACCATGTGTGTGTGTTATGTTTTATTTTGTTTTGTTTTCATCTCAGCTAGTGTGCCATTACCGGATGAAAGAAATGATACCCTTGAATTGGAAAATCAGCAGCGACTCATTAAGACATTGGAAACTATTACAAATCGACTGAAAAGAACCCTCAATACAGAGCCAATGTATTCCTTCCAGCTTGCCTCTGAAATGCTTGTAGCTGACAGCAATTCTTTGGAAACAAAAAAGGCTTTCCTCTTTTGTAGACCAGGCTCTATGCTGCGGGGCCGCATGTGTGGTAAGACATTTCCTGTGCTTGCAAACACTTCCTGCCTTTTGAGCCAAATTAGATGGATAGAACTTTACAACTGTGTATAGAGGAACAGCTGTTAAAATGGAACAGATTTTGCTGTTTTTCTGTCCTTGTTGTGCTACCATACTTAATTTGGTATGTAGTCTTCAGAAACTAAGGAACCTTTCATGGTGAGGACAATAAACTATATGAGATAAGGATTCAAATCTTAGTTTTACTTCTAGATCTTTAAGCTTCGTAGTTTTTAGCAGTGGCTCCAGTAACAGCAGCTAGCATTTTCTGAATATTTCTACATCTATATACCAGATGAGCAGCTCTCATGTTTAATACTGTTCTGTAACTCTGACATTCCATGGTTATTAAGTCCATACTACTGAGGAGAAAACTGAACCCAGAAAGCTAACAACATACCCCTAAATTCAAAAGTGGTCCAGCTGGATTCCCACTGAAGCAGCAAATTTCAAAGTCTTAACCATATTTTTAATTGAGACACAAGTCACAAAACATAAATTTAACCATTTTAAAGTGTTTGATTTAGTGGCATTATGTACATGCACAATATTATGCAGCCATCATCTCTATTTCCAAAAGCATTTTCATGTTTTGCAGAAGGACACCCTCAACTGGTTAAGCCGCAACACCCCCCTTTCTCCCTTCGCCTACCACCTTAACTTTTAGCCCCTCATCTAGACTGCCACTGTCTACACCAACACCAACTTATTTCCAAAGATGACATCATTTATAATTGACAGAATCTTCTCTGCTATCTGTCCACTCAGCTGAACCACATGATAGGAGTCTAGGTTAAGCTCTCTGTAGAGCTGGCTTTTGTGTGTCCTCCAGAAAATCTCCAGCAGTTCTTGCCACCATTCCAAGAGCTTAATGGTTTTTCCATAGTGTCACAAAGCCAGCCCATCTCAAGTACATTAAAATTGTCATTCTGAGTCACTTTGTGCAAAAGATCAGGCATAGCCTTGGTCTATGCATTACCTTCAGACTACTTGTGTCAAAATCACCTGAAGTGTTTATAAACCCTGTCTTGACTCAGGCACAACTCAAAATTAATCACGTGACACTTTGAAAGAAAGAGATTGGAATATGCCTCCTAAGTAAGGCAGTAATCACACGTTATAGTACCCCAGAAGCACCTTGGTAGTATTTCAGATGTTCTTCTGTAAGAGCTCTGATGATAACTTCTTCATTGAGTTTAACTTGGACCTCAGAATTCCTAAGCCCTTCTGGGCTTAGCAAATAGAAAACCAGGGGCTGGGGAGATAGCTCAGTAGAATAAGCACTTGCCTAACAAGCACAGGGTCCTGAGTTCATCCCCCGTACCACAAAAAAAAAAAAAAAAAAACCAAATCTCCAAAAGGTTTTAACAATAGTCCTTATGTCTGAGGATGCCTCAGATTTGCCTTCTCAAGCAATAACACGCAATTAGAAAGATGACTTCGTTGAGCATGTCTATTTTTTTGTCTCACTGCATTTGCCTGCTTTTGTCTCTAAAAGCAATACTGTGATGGGAAACAATTTTATAAGGGGAATCATTGAGAAAATAGTGAAGAAAGTGTTTCTTTCTTTATACATCAAAGCTTCAAATTAAATATTCATTGCTTTATCCTTTTCTTCCAGAAGCTTTCTCTTTGTTGACTGTGTCAATGACCATGGCTTATTAAAACTTTTACTCATATTTCAAAGCTTCATTATATAAGTTCTAAGCTTGACCAATAAAATGTGCATCTTCTCATTTCAAAAAAGGTCTGTTGTTGGTTTTCAGGAGTACTTTTTCGAAGTTTTACCTTGGGAGCAAACCTCTGGTGATAAAATTAAACACTTGAAGCATGCTCTGCTACTTTTAAATCTTAGGGGGAAAAGGAACCTTAAGGTGTTCCATGGTTGTGGGGCTTTATTCACTGCTTCCCCTTTGTTTCTCTGCAGTCAACTGTCCCTTGGGAACCTACTATTCTCTGGAGCGATCTGTCTGTGAAAGCTGCCGCCTGGGATCTTATCAAGATGAAGAAGGGCAATTGGAGTGCAAACTTTGTCCTGCTGGGACTCACACAGAGTATCTCCATTCAAGGAGTATCTCAGAATGTAAAGGTAGGGGCATTCACACCGTGGATTTTGTGTCCAGTTGCAGGAGAGGACTGATTTTTTTCTTCACTCATCACTTGGTTTATGTCTGAGGCCACTGTAAGAATACAGGTTTGCAAGAAAATAGCATACAAATTTATTCAATATAAGACATATGTGGCAGAGGAGCTTTCAGAACGAAGTCTCCCCAAAAGAAAGAAACTTGTATACATGTGTGAGAAGTTCAATGAATTGCATAGCTTCCAATGATGGCTGCACGAGGGGATGTGGCCCAGAGGTGACAATGATGGCGCGCTTAGCAAGGCCTGTGTTTTTCTTAGATTCTTTCCTGTGTCCCTTCCCATCAGGTGTAAGGATGTTTCTCTGAAGGTAAAGTAGGGGGTGGGAATCTCTCACGGGTAGATCTTATGGCTTGTTCCAGGAAAAAAAGCAAGAAAAGATCAGAGAGAACTTCCTGCTTCTGCAGTTTTCTCCAATTTCTTCAGGTTAAAATATCCAGTATATCAAGGGACCATATTTTGCGGAAGGATGTTCTGAGCCCTGTCATTTTTCAGAAGTTTAAATGTCAAATGGAATGAAATACAAATACAGTTGAAGGCATTTTCATTTATTTATGGTTTTAATTAGGAAATATTACCTGTATGTTTCTCCCAATATAAAAAAAATATATCTTTTTTAGAAATACTTTTTTGAAAGTACTCAGTTTCTTTTGGAAATACTCACTTTCTCTATGTCAGATCCACATTCATCAGTGAGCCTGACTTTTTCTCACATTAATTAGTAGAAAAGTCTTTCACATCACTTAGCAAACATTAGCTTGCTTTTTGTCAGTATACTGTTTTATATAATGGGATCAAAATTGCTCCAGGCACATGTGCATACACCACAGAAATATGCAATATTTCCAAAATATTTTTATTGTTCTCAAAGAGAATTCCTGATGGAGACATTTTCTTTCTTAATGTTTCAGAAGCTATGGCCAACCTAAAGAATTTCAAAATAGGGGGCTGGGGAGATGGCTCAGTGGAATAAGTACTTCTCTGGCAAGCGCAAGAGCCTGAGTTCAATCCCCGGTTCTGCCAAAAAGAAAAAAAAAAAGAAAGAAAGAATTTTAAAATTGCGGCCCTTTACCATTGTTGCAAGTGCAAGTGTGAATGTCTAGGTGGTTGGAAATGCATAAAATTGTTAGCAGTGTTGAAAAAGAAAGGTATCTGGAGAATGAAGGCAACAGGGAAGGGTAGTGTCCTGGACGTCAGGGCACTTGGCCTACACCTCTCTACTATGGGCCCCTGGACCATTGTTATGAGTTTAACATCTTTGCTTCTACCTTGATGACTGCTTCTATTTTCAACTCTCTGCCAGCTTCCAAATGAAATAGTATGGAGGAGGGGGAGGCAATATAGCCAGTTGTCATATTGAGCTATAAAGGTGCCACAACCTCAGTTTGGGATTGTGTTTGTCACTCAAGAGAGCAACATATGAGTTGAAAATTTCTCCATAAACAGAAATTGCCAGGGCACAATATTGATTTATTTTGTGTCCAAGTTTGTTCTTATATCAAGACCTTTCACCAATGTACATTTCTAACTTCATTCTACAGTGATTTATTGAACACCCTCTATGGGCCAAAGAGAAGTAACTGAAAACAGATCTAATATATAGTACACAGAAGCAAGGGGATTCTGCAATATTTGTGCTTATCCTGTATTGAATTACAGAAAGCCTTACCCTTCACGGAGCTAATTGTGCTTAGTTTAATGTTGTTATTAATCCTATTCCATTTTTTCTTTTCAGCTCAGTGTAAACAAGGCACTTACTCATCCAATGGCCTTGAGACTTGTGAATCGTGCCCGCTGGGCACTTACCAGCCGGAGTTTGGTTCTCGGAACTGCCTCTCATGTCCAGAATCCACTTCTACAGTTAGGAGAGGAGCCATGGACATTTCTGCTTGTGGAGGTGAGCAAAACTTTAGACACCGATACTCTTTTAAACCTATTATGCTCTGTGTATGAAGGAGTGGAAGATTTGTAGAGAAACTGAATGTCCACTCTCTGTAAAGCTATGAAAAAGAGAAGTTTCTGAAGAGTTCTTTTTTCTCCGCCTAGTCAATACTTGAGTGTAAAAACTGGCTAATGCTATTAGGAACATGAAAGAGACATAAGGCTTGGTCCCAGGACTCAGAAGTAATAAACATGTGGCTTCATAGGTTGGTAGAAATATATTTGAACTAGTAACTTAAGTTTTCTCATTAATGAAATGATATCTTGTCTGTTGTTTCTTGGACTTCTACATATAAATTCTTCTGTGGGTTCTGCCATTTCATTCCTGCAAAGTGAAAATTTCCACAAGTGTACATTCTCTCTGCTGGCACATTAGTGTCATCTTCACATTCATACAACTTTTTAAAATCCTGAAGCCCAGCTTCCACTCTCCAAAACTCTGAAATTGTCTGCAGTGGAAACTGGGCGTTGGTTTTCGTTTTAAATTCCCTTAAAGGACTCTAAACTGACAAGAAACCTTGGGAGACACTGATTCAGGCTCTAAAGTGAGACAGAGGGCTGGCAGGACAGATGCCTGGGTCCCACACCCAGAGCTGTGAGTCTGTAAGTCTGGGGGGAATGTGACAATTTGCATTTCTAAGCAGTTTTCAGATAATGGTGATTGTGCTGGTCCAGGAACCGCAAGCTGAGAAGCACCAATATAAATAAATACAAATAGAAAGATGAGCATTCCAATTGTTAAATATTTCTAACATCCCTACTGAGTATAATGATCAAAAATTCTTGAAGATGTAAACAAAACAAAAGGTGAAAATGTAAAGTGACAAGCCAACCAGGATTGACAGTCAAGGTCAGCCTGCTACCAGAAACTCCAAAAACCTCACCACTGCTATGCAGAATCAGTAGAGCTGGGTTAAAAGGAGAGAAGTCCCCTGGGGCATCTCAAAGGACAGGACAATCATAACAAAAGGATGATTTAAAAAAATGTATATCATCAACATTTTTTATGTTCAGGACTCAAGCAGCGATAAACATGTGGCGTCATAGGTTGGTAGAAACGTATCTGAACTAGTAACTTAGTTTCCTCATTAATGAAATGATCTCTTGTCCATTGTTTCTAACATCCGTACTGAGTATAATTATCCAAAAATTCGTGAAGATGTAAATAAATCTACAATCCTTGGGTTCTCAGAGATGAAAAGTCTGTTGCCTCATTGAAGGAGTGATGCTTTTAAGAACCACCCAGCTGGTTCCCCACTTCTCTCAGCTACCCAGAGAAGCATACTCACACCTCTTACTCTCTTTGTACTCTGGCCACACGTGCAACCATGTCAAGGAGAGACTGAGCACCTTAGAAGGTTCTCACACACTAGCTGCCTGTCCAGTGTGTACGGCGGTTGGCTGTGGGATGTCCAGCACTGCCTCTTGTAAGACAGAGTCCTTATGGGCTTAAGTGTCATGGCAAGAAGGGAAAACACACTGAATTATAGGTTTTTAGAACCATCTGTTGCAGCTAGCTCAGTCTAGTTGGATCATGGTAGGTAAATGCTTGAGACCTGAAGAACAAGGTGAATAGTGTCCATCAACCCGGTGCTACACTGAACAGTAACTCTCTTGAGTCATGCCCCTTGTGTAAGAGCAGCCTTAGATTTTTTTTTTAACTTAAAGTCAAAGAAAGCTTCTTATGACATCTGTTAGAGATTCTTTCATTTTGTCAATATGCAATCTAATTTTGGAAGGAAAATCCCCAGTAAAAAAAAAATTCTACTCGTCCCCACTCTTGTTTCCTTTGACCACAAAAGAAACCAGGATTTTTACAGAGAAGCAAGGTCGTATTTGACATTTTTTTCTTTTAGCTTTCTAAATGAGCCTTGAGGATTGTCTAACACCAAATTTATGATTAAGCAGTTCTGATTCCCAGAAAGTCTCTAAAATTCTGGTAACTGGTTCATTTCTCCTAATAGTCTCAGGAATAGCAAACCTCAAACTCTCCTGCAGCGCTGAATAAACACTATTTGCTTTAAATTTCAGTATGAATGGGTTCTAAAATGACCCCTTGTGTAGTTTTTCTTAGGCTTCAATCCACTTCTTTTTTTTTTTCCCTTTCTTCTTTCGTTTTTTCTTAATTTTATTTTATTTATTTTATTTATTTATTTGGTACATGGTCTCACTATGTTCCTGGCCGGCATGACATGTGAGGTACCAGAGATCAAACCCAGGTCCTTGAGCTTGCCAGGCAGGCACCTAGACTGCTGAGCTGTCTCCCCAGTCCTGCCCATTCTTTTTTCCAGTGCTAGGAACTGAGTTCAAGGCCTTATACATGGTACTCAGGGGCTCTACCACTGTGGAGCATCCCCAGCTTTTTTCTTTTTGTTTTGGTGTTAATTTACTCTTATGTAACACTCAGAGTGAGAAAAAAAATTTAACCAATTGTTCCTCAGACAAAGAATTTATATACAGAACATATAAAAAATTGAAGAAAATCAGACTCCTCAAATTCAAAGACTTAATCATGAATATGCATGTCTCAGATGAAGAAATAATTTGCTTTCATGGGCATGTAGTACAGTTTATCTTATTTTTAGTTTTATCATTTTTGCATTTCTTTAACATATGAAACATATAATATTAATAATCAATGCAGCAATTATAATTTTAAAATAAAATGTTATAATGGTACCATGGTAAAATAAAATTTTCTCTAGAGTATATTTTACCTTTCCTTCCTTCTTAAGTCATTAAATATTCTTTGATTTGTGACTACAAAGGACTGAAATTTTTCAGTTTTTGAAAGATCATTTGAATCTAGATAATAAAATTTCACAACTGACATATCATTTCCATTGTTATCCTATCCCATCAGAGAAGGAAAGATTATTTTTGAACCAGAATAGCACCACCTCTTACCCTACCCCTCCAGAATAAAATTTTAAAAAGACTTAGTATGAGTGAGTGATTGACTCATACTAATTTTGAGTATAATTGACTCATGCTCATTTTGTCTTTAGAAATCCATTATTTATTTATTTTTGTATAGACTCTAGATAGATTACATATTTTGATACTCAGTGGAATGGACACTGTGGTAAGATAAATGAATATGTCCTGTTATTTCATATATTTGTCACCCTTGAGTGGTAAAAGCACCTGAATATTTTTTTTTTCTAGTACAGAGTCTACAGGGGCTTGCTATGTAAATTGGACTTGTAGTGATACACCTGTGTTCAGCCTCCCAAGAGCTGGGATTACAGGCATGTGCCACAATACCCAATCTCAATCGTCTTCTCAGGACGCCCCAGGGTCGGGGTCGGCAGGGCACCCAGAGACCCAACCCTGGCTATTTTGTCTGCCTAAGTAGGCGCTTTAATCAGCTGATCCATTTGGCCGGCTGCCTGAATTTTTGATATTACATGAAATTTCTCCTCTCTTTTCTCATGACTTTAGCCCATCAGAAACTATAAATTCCATTTATGTGCTTAGTACTGAATATTTACTAGATAGTATTGCATATTTATATGTACTTAAACATACATGTATATATGTGTATTGTATGTGTGAATACAGATGCTCCTTCCTTTACAATCAGATTTCATTTGAGTAAACCTAAGGTAAAAAGAAAATCCACTTATTATGGCTACCCTCCTGCTGAATATCAGCTGATCCACACAGACCCAAGCGTTGCTTACTCTCAGGAGCATGTGGTTAAGGGGGAGGAGTGGTATACTGCTGCTGCCGGCTTCCCAAGAGTCTTCCATGGGTGGGTGCCCAGGAAAAGATCAGAATTCCAAATTTGAAGTATGGCTTCTACTGAATGCCTATCACTTTTGCATCACTGAAACCTGAGTCATCATAAAACAGGGACGGTCTATAGTGTATGGATGCCAGTTGGCGATTCTTCAAAAGTATATTTCTGCTCACAACTCTTGTCATTGGAGTGTAACTTAAGCTCATTTTCAAATGCAAATATATTTTACATTTCATGTGCCAAAAAGTAAAATAGAGACATCATAATAATGTCTTAGCTATTTTTAGAGGCTGATAGACTTATTGTTAATCTAAATATTTTAGCACTATTATCTGTTTGTATAATTTTCAGTATTTTGTAACACTATAGGAGCATGAACATTTTTCTTTTTGAAGACTAAGATTGGGCTGAAAATAAGTACAGTTTAATTTATTATAGCACTGTGAGTTTTATTAATGCAACTTGTCTTTTTAGTGTTCCATAGGCACTCATTACAAGTATTATGCTTCATATAATGAATCAGGAGTGTTTATATCCTTACTTTATAAATTTTTATATTTTTAATTAAATTTTTTTGTGGTACTAGGTATTGAACTCAGGACCTTGCGCTTGCCAGGCAAGTGCTTATTCTACTGAGTTATCTCCCCGGCCACTTAGTTAACTAATTTAATTAGTTGCTTGGAAGGATTTTTTTTTCCAAATAAGCAGTTATTTTTGGAAATTTAAGATTTAGAAATCCCACTTTAAACTCAACAAGTTTACAATTATTTTTGTACAAATAGAACCCGAAAGAGAACTCTAATTCTTATCAAAATGTATATTAATTGGTTCTTCATGAAACAAAAATACAAATTAAAATTATTTCTTGCTAATTGAGGCTGGAGAGATAGCTCAGTGAAATAAGCGCTTGCCTGGCAATCCCAAGGGCCTGAGTTCAATCCCTGGTTCCACAAATAAATAAATAGATAGATAGATAGATAGATAGATAAAATGAAATAAAATAAAATTATTCCATGTGTATAGTAAATATAGCCACAAGAAGTATTTTTCTTAATTGGTATTTATATCTATGATATTGTCTTCTATCTCTTATTTCACACCCTGACTTATAAATTGGCTATGTAAAATTTCTTCTGCAAAATACTTGACTAGCTATTTTCTTAAGAACTTTTATCTAAATTTCTTGAAGCCATCCTTTGTTCTCTAGTTTGGTATATAAATAAGAGATATCATCTCATGATAGATCCTACTCCCTTGAACTGGAGGGTCACCTCTAAATTCAACTATATTGATAATTGTTTGTGCTGAACTAATTTCTTTATCAAGAGTCCAAACCCAAATGATAAGTATGCTGAGATCTTCAGTAGCTACTTTTTTGTGTCCTATCTTCCATGCTTACATTTGTACAGATGAATATCAATAGTTTTAGTAGTTTTCTCAGATTATAGTGGCTTTAGGGATCACACAAATGATACCAGTTTACCCAAGGAAAGGATGTATTCTACCCAAATTTATCTTTGGTTCATAGCCTAAAGCCTCACCTGAAGGATTAAGAGATGGGTAATTCTCCCCTTCACCCCCCTTTGCCTAACGCAATGAAAAATTGTTGGGAAAAAATAGCTCCTGCTATGTGTGAGCCTGTTTTTGTTTGGTTTCTGTTGTATCAATTATTGGTGAAGAAAATTCAGATTTGATTAAATGACAATACTTAACTGATTTTTAATAAAATATACATCTAACATGAAATGATATTCAAAGGTTAAAAATTATTTTACATTGCCAGACACATGAATGCAAAAAGCAAGAAAATATTGGGAACAAAATTAAAAGTTAAGCTTGATGCTAAATAGTCCAATGAGGAAGATAAGGAAAAAGGTGACTTATATTACAGAATTCACAAGAAATTTAAACTATTCTTGATAAATCCTTATCATCAAGTAATAATGAAACACGTGAAGTAAAGTGTATGTCTCACAGGGGAAAATCACAGAAAAATCTATTACCTTGTATTAATTAATATTAAATAGAAAGATAATTAATTACCTGTTTAACAAAAATAATTTAAAAATTAATGCACAAAGGAGTAAAAATTTTCCTCTATGTCAAAGAATGTATATATTTAATATATCAAATAATTATAAAATACCTCAATAAATAATAGGCAAGTATGCACAAAAAATAACGATGTACAATATATAAAGAGAGAGCACCTTCATTTACAGCAAAATGCAAGATAAAATAATAAGGCAATTCTATTTTACCTTCAAATTGAAAAGAAAATATAAATAATCATGACCAGTGCTGACAAGCATCCAATAAGAGCAGTTTCTTATATTGCTGTTGAAAGTTCTGTACATTGAAACTATTTCTTTTTTTTCTTTTTTTTTTTCTTTTTTGGCAGAACCAGGGATTGAACTCAGGCCCTTGCACTTGCCAGGCAAGCGCTAATTCTACTGAGCCATATCCCCTGCCCCCTATTTATTTTACATAATTTGGTGTTATAAATTTTTATTTTATGTTTTTATTTATTTATTTTTTCCTGTATTTTAGGGAAAGGTCTACAGGGTATTCAGGGTCTTACTACTAGATCAGACCCATAGTGATCCACCTGTTTACAGCCTCCCAAGTGCTGGGATTCCAGGCCAGAGCAACCACTCCCAGTCTCAATTACTGTCTCAGTGTGCCCTGGGTGATGGGACCAGCACAGCAGGCTGGGGATTGAACCCCCAGCCCCTGCACCTGCTTGCAGGTGCTTTAATCTGCTAAGCTCTTTGGCCAACCCCATCATTTGGTGTTATAGATCAATGACTTTATTTTTTTCATAGTTTTATATCCAACTATTCAACTATGCAAATTCACCTATACAAATGCAAATATGCAAAGTAAACAGTCAGTACTGTATACAAAGATTTAAGTAGAAATTTTCATTTCAACATTAATGACTAAAACAAGTGGAAACAGTCTAAATAAATGTGGAGGACACATTAGATCAATTATAATCTATCAAAAGGATGGAATATTTTTGAATTTGTTACATTCATGCATTTCAGGGATCTGTGGAATGATTTGGAAAATGCTTACAATATAATGTTAAGTAGAAAAATCAGAATACATTATGATATGGCCAATTCTAATCTTTACTGGATGAATGTGAGTTGTTAAAGCTGAGAAACAAAATATTTATCTGTATGATCAAATGGTATGAGTAGTAAGTCTATGGAAATTCAGAAACTTTCTTACAAACAAATGAAGGCATCTCTTTTTAGTGTAGTGTTTTCCTTTTTACACAATAATGATTTGTTTTTATCTTTGCAGTCCCTTGTCCAATGGGAGAGTTCTCTCGTTCTGGGTTAATGCCCTGTCACCCATGTCCTCAGGACTATTACCAGCCTAACCCAGGGAAGTCTTTCTGCCTGTCTTGTCCTTTTTATGGAACTACAACTGTCACTGGTGCCAGGTCTATCACAGATTGCTCAAGTAGGTCAATAAGTTCCATTTCCTAAATATTTCCTACTCAGGCTTATTTCTGCTTATATCTGCGGTCACTTGACTTTTGAGTATCACTCTGTTCAGTGGATTTGCGTGTTACATGGCTTTTTTAAGATCTTTTTGATGACAATGACTCCAAGAACCCTTTTGGAAATGAACTTGGTAGCTTCCAAATGTCTTATAAGAGCCTAAAATCAAATGACATATGACATCCATCTCTCTATGCTCCTGTTTACGTTACAAAGACTAACTCTATGTGGCTTTACTCACTCTGGCAACCAGGATCTTCACCATAGCGTTTCTGGTTTATTACTGGCAGTATCTACTATACACTGATATGTTTCTCGAAAATATTTTTATTAATTTTACTAGGTTTTAGCTCAACTTTCTCAGCAGCAGAGGAAAGTGTAGTGCCCCTTGCCTCTCCTGGACATATCCAAGCGAAGTATGAAGTTAGCAGCCAGGCAAGTCCATTTTCTTCATATGAGATGTTCTATGGTGGAATACTTGGAAAATAATTAGTCACACAGAGGAGAACTCTTTCCTGAGTTTGCAACTCTAGTCAAGTGTACAAGTCCTACCGATGAATGTTGTATTTACTTGTGACTTCTCATAGGAACTTCCCAAAATAAATTGCAAGAGTAGATGTTCCAAGTACAAAAAATGGGAGGTTTTTTCCCAGCAATGTCTGCTCAAGAATTATAAATACAAATGCCTTTGATTCTTCAATAATTAATACCACACACATAGCCCATCATTTGAGAAAAGGGTATTTGGCTTAGCCAGTGGGTTTTTCTGAATGATAGAAAAAATGACTCAACTTTCATGAAAATCACTTACATATTTTTGCCACCAAAAAATAATCATTTTTGGGAATCAGATGTGAGTTTTTAAAAACTAAGAATATAACTCATGAACATAACTAAACAAATTGTTTTCCACTCTTAAGAGAGAATAGTTGTTAAGTCTGATTATTTTGGTAAATTCTGTCATTACTCTGAATTCATCTTGTTCAATGTCCTGCATTCCTTGGCTTTCAGTAGTTTTAGTGATAATGAGGCTATACTAATTATTATAGCTTCGTAAAACCTAATCCTAGAGTTTTATAAGTCATATTTAAAGCTTAGCCTGTTGCAGCCAGAAATACATTGGTAGGTTTAAAGCAAAACAAAGGCTCTCAAACTTCAGGCAAAATAGAACCCACCTGCCAATTGAAAAAACAAACCACCAAACAATGTATAGAGTCTGTTCCTATAGGTTCTGGTTTGGCTGGCCTGAGTTGGAGCTCAGTCCTTTGCATATTTTAAAACATTTCAAATGGATTCTAGCAAGGATCCAGCATTTAGGAACACTACTTGGGTGCCCCCGAACATCACTCAAAAATAATCTACATGGCTTGTGTGCACGTATGTCAGGCAGAGACCCACATAGCTCCAGTGACCTTGTCAGCAGCAGGGTGCTTTGTCTCTCATATGTGTCTTCTCTCTTACTGGCAGGTTTTCCATGAATGTTTCTTAAGCCCTTGCCGCAACAACGGGACCTGCCAGCAAGTTGGGCGTGGTTACGTGTGCCTCTGTCCACCTGGATATACAGGTAATGCAAGCCATGTAAATGTTAACATTCTATATGAAATCATTACAGATCACCTACAAATCTTAAAAATGTATCAGCTGAGATACATCAAACTATCAATACAAGCATGTCTAGTTTAACAAAGTGTACATACTTCACAGATGTGTTTTCTTTGCACATTTTTGGAGGAAGAGTAAGTAGTTGTCTTCTGTATGAAAAACTCACATTATAACACAGTGTAAATTGGAATACGGTTCCAGAAGCCGTAGCCAAAGTTTCGGTCTAACACAAATTAAATACTTGGCACATACAGAGCACATTGTCCAGTGTAAACATGTTTAAACAAATGCCTAGTTTCTTTCATCTGTGACTAACTGTGATATGCTGCTTTGCTTCTTTCTGGACACTGTGCTCAGAACAATAATATGACTTTGAATTTGATTAGGTAGAAATTAGGTTTCTTTGTAGTGTGGTCCACATTACTGCTGAGTCATAATTTTAAGAAGAAATGTAACTTTAAAAAGAAATGAGCTATGCCTTTAAAATGCAAGTTAATTTAAAAGAATTTGACATAACTCAATTTTCTTCTAAGCAGTTGTTGGTATTTTTAAAGTTTTATGCAACTTCCAACTTGGAGGATAAAAACGGTATTAAGGAAAAATTTGCCATAAAATAAGCAGAAGGAAAATTAGAAAATAATATGTAGCCTACAGCTGGCAAGAATGCTGACATTCCACTCATTTTGACTGTGTGTGTGTGTGTATGTGTGTGTACAGATTTTTCTAAAACCTTTTGTCTTAACATTATATGAGAATAATTGATCTTATCTGAAAATTCTATAAATGAGTGTAACAAAGGTCACAATATATAATAGTGGCTTGTTAAACACAGGTCCCTGGACCTCAGAGATGCAGGCAATGCCAGAATTTCTGATTCAGAGGTCTGGGGTGCAGCTTGATCATTTACATTTCTGTTGCATTTCCGGGTGCTACTGATGCTGGCTGACTAGGAATTGCATTTTGAGACCCCTACATAATAGCTTATAGCAGATCTTGGGTTTCCAGCAGAGCTGGCCTGTAGAGAGCTTGCATGCACCCTCTAGGAAGCAGGAGCCCACTCCAGGTCACCTGCCTGATGTGCTGAGATCTGGAAGAATTTAGCCATCTTCCCTTCCCAGCCAGGTCACTTTGGCAGCAGGTGAATAAAACTTGATGTTTTTCACTTTGAAATTGGCATCCCAGGGGTCATCAAGCTATTAAAAAGCAAATGTTTAAACTTTTTAATTATTACAATAATAATGTGAAAGACACGTTCCTATTACTACCCCTCAAAACACTCTTCTTCTATCTGAACGCACCCATCCCACCATTTTGCATTCTCTGCAATAGGCCTAGAAGCCTTCTTTTGCAAAGGTCTTTAGAAGGTGTGATTTTAAAAAAAATTACATAAATGCTGTCACTGTCCAACAGAAAGACAGATTCATCAAGACTCTATGGTATGGTGTGTCATAATTCCTCCTGTCTACCAGATCTGACACTGTGTGACTTCTGACCATTCCTCTGAAGTCAGAAAGACTGAAAGATAAGTGTTTGGAGCTAGTCAGGACATTGAGGTACCCATGACTAGGCAGCTAAAGCCATGCAAGAGGACTTCCGGAACTGCCTTGAAAGTGCAAGAATGGCGGGATACATGTGTCCAAAGTGATGGGGATAGAGAGCAAGAGAGAGAGAGAGAGAGAGAGAGAGAGAGAGAGAGAGAGAGA